ATGACTTTAATGGCGATCCAGTCACTAAAGAGGATCAAGAAGAAGATCCTACCCTTAGAGAGGGCTTTGTGGATACTCCAGTTTTATATGAACAACCAAGTGAACGTGAAGGAGTTGATTGCAAAATATTGGAGATAACCTATTTCTTTGTCCCAAAAGGAATAATATGATAAATGATATTTATGATGGAGGGAAAGAAGTAGAAAGGGAAACAATTAGAGGGAAAAACTGTAAAGAACTCCTTTCTCTCAATGATAGTGGTGACAATCAATCATGTTTTGACTCAAATGACTACTTTCTACCACTTTATGACTACTTCCTTGGCTGTGCCCTCGCTTTCTATGTTTATCTGAATCGGGGTGACATGGGAGACATGCTCCAATGAGCTGATGCTACTTTCATTAGTTGTTCTTGATGAGTATGTTGAAAAGAATGTACACCAAAAAGTGTATGATAATGCTCTCAATGCTAGAAGGCAGGATGAGCTATTATTTCATCTTAAGTCAAAGATCCCGATAGCAACTCACCAAGTTCAAATTGAAAAGGATTGTGGTTGTACTGCAAGACTCATCTTAGCCCATTTCAAAGTTCATGGGCGAATCATTTCGAATAAGTTAAGGCTACTAATATTATGGACTAACTCTACAGAGATGGTCATTCTCACTGAGTACTATGGTGTGTCGAATACAAACTCAAGGGCGAGTTCTCTCGAACCCAAGGAGAATGATGTAGGGCCCAATATGGGACCCACAAATCCAGCACGGACAGCTAGTTTCTATGAGCCTAGAATGGTATAATAGTGCGTTTCCAAAGTCTTGAAAGGGGTAAAGAGAGAGTCAACGTGAGGAGTTTCCAAAATTTGGGAGTTGGAGTATGCTTAGGAACTTGGTGGATTGTGCAATGAGAATAGGTTAGCTTTTAGTATGTATTGGAAACTTGAAAGACAAGTAACATAAAAGGGGTTGGACATTCCAATTTGGAGTTCATGTTTTATGTAATTTCAGTTTTGAATATATAGCATTTTGCTATGATATTGTGGTGAGCTTTGACTTCCACCAATTTTCTCTCTCTCTAATATATCTTCGTGTGTGTTACTCTCGCTAAGTTGCAGTCCCCACAGTTTAGGACAACCCCAGTTTCTGGATGGTAGAAATGGTATCCCTTACCACGATGTGAGTATCCTATGATGATGCACTTAAACGGTTTTAGATTCTAACTTTGTTCTATTTTGGCGGGGTAATATGACATAGATTGGGCATCCCCACACTCTTAAGTGGTCAAGGATGAACGCGACTAGTGAAAATCTCAAGAGGAGTTAGTAAAACTGCTTCGGTAAGAGTTCAGTAAAAAAATGTAACCAGCTATTAAAACTGCTTCCCCCCAAAAATCTAAGGAGAGCTTAGTATGTCCCATCATACTCCTCACCATTTCCACTAAGATCTTATTCCATCACTTGGCTACCCCAACTTATTGAGGAGTATATGGCATAATATATTGATGTATGATACCATGCTCAATACAAAACTCCTTAAATAGACGTAAGGAATACTCTTCACCACTGTCAGTTCTAAGGATCTTAATTTTCTAGTTTCTTTGGGTTTCTACCTCGGCTTTATACTCTATAAAACGGTCTAGCGCTTTTGACTTTTCACTCAACCAATATACATGGCCAAATTGGGAGTGGTCATCTATAAAAGTGATAAAGTACCTCTTATGACCTTAGTTGCCACATTTATAGGTCCACAAATATCACTATGGACAACATCTAAAATGCCAGCAGCTCTCTGAGCTTTTGTAAAGAGTTTCTTAACTAGCTTTCCTTGAACACAAGATTCACATTCTTTGCTTAAATCATCATTTAGGTTTTTCAATAATCCTTCTCTCTTTAATCTCTTCATTCTTTTGTAATTTAGATACCCCAAACTCATATGCCATATGTATACATCATCGACGTCATCATCATAACACGAGACATAACCAATACAATTTTTTATTGAACTGACAAGAAACCATACACAAGAAGACCGTTCAGGACTATTTCTTTGTCCATTTTACTTCCATCTTATTGTCAATAAATATGGCGGTATATCCTGCCTTAGCCAACTTTAAGACCGAAACTAAACTCTTTCTCATGTTTGGAACGTAAGGACTTTGCTTTAGGACCATGTTCTCTCTATTTTTTTATTAAAGGACATAATCACTATATTTATTTTACATGCTCTCACAGGCTTTAAAGGCCACAAACTCCGTTTGTGGCTTTTAACTCCGTTTCTTTTTTTTACAGGATTCCGAGAGGAGGAGTAACAACTCCCCTCCAAACTGTCCATCATTGACATCTAAGGTCGGGGAAATTCTAGGAAACTAAAAGAAAACCAAATGATAGCGACAGAACATTACCCAAATTTCTATACTTTGATTTAATACTTTTTTTGTGCCATTCATGCAAGTCACTCGACCCATTTGCGAAAAGTCTATTCAGAAAACAAGATTTATGATTTCAAATCAATAAGAAATTAAGCAAAATTTTCCTAAACATCCCTTATAATTTGCAGTATTGAAAAAATTTCCCCATGTTTTTTAATTCACACTCACTTCCCTTTTTCTCAATTTTTTTTATTTTTTCCAAAATGCCCTCATATTGGAACTCCAAGTTCCGAACCAAGATCTTTTTTTTCTAAAAGAAATACTGGTACAAAACTTCAAGTTCCAAACCGTGTCACTTGTACTCTCTTGTTTAGTGATAAACCGGTTCAAAACTTTGAACCTATGTTTTTTTTTAATGATAGACTAGTTTTGAACTTCAAGTTCCAAACAAAGTCACCTGTGTTTTATGTAGTTAAAGACTAATTCAAATCTTCAATGTCGAACCTTTTATCCTCACAAAAACAATGGCCTCCATAAAGGAGTACATCCATGTTAAACCTAGTACAGTCAGCCAATGTGGGACAACATGTTAAACCTAATTCCTCAAATAAAAGACTTATTTTGATCTAATATCCAAATTTTTTAAAAATAATCATTTGAGGTTATAAAGTGGATTTTAAATTTCAAAAAAATAAAAAATAAAAAACACATTTTGCCCAAGGAAGCAAGTAAAAATACAATGTGCTCCTGCAGGAGCACAATATAATTAAAGAAGTTAACAAAAAGCAAAAGTATTAACTTGCATTTGACGAGCTAAAGTCACCTACTACAAATTTCATTTTCTTAACTTTTATTATATTAATCTCCTCCGCAAGGCGCACACTATATACTTGCTCCATTAAGCAAATGTATATAAATTTACACTAATGTCCCTCTACATTACCCTTTTTTTTTCTTTTAACTTGTTAATTGTTCCCTCTAAATTACCGTTATTTAAAAAACCCCTCCAAAAAGTGTGATTTTGTGTTTATACCCATGTTTTTAATTTTTCCCAAATTGCCCCTAAATCAGACCTTGAAGGTCCAAAATTTGTTCTTTTTTTGCTCATAAACTTATTTCAGAACTTGAAAGTCATGAATAGATCCGAACATCAACTTTGAATCTTCAAGGTCTAAAGTTGACTTTTGTTCACATACATTGACTTTGAAGCTTCAAGATCTTGGTTTTTGTTACAACAAAAAGCCCTGGGCACACAGTTTATCATGACTTTGCACTTTAAAATTTGTCCTCACAATAACTACCAAAAGACTCCACATCAAATGCACTAGTTCACAACAGGGCACCTGATAAGATCTTTTTTTTTTTTGAATATGTGATACCTAATAGGAATAACTTAGTGGTTTTAATGAGAAGGAAACCTAAGGAAAACACACACGTGTGGTTATTGCATGTTCCTGTTCTGTAAAAATCCTACTTAAGGTATCAAATTAACTTTAGACCTTCAAAGTTTGTAGTTAATGTATGTGTGAAAAAAAAAAGCCGATTTCAGACCTTGAAGGTCCAAAGTTGATGTTTAGAACAAATTCAGACCTTCAAGATCCAAAGTAAGTTTGAGCAAAAATAGAAACTTCAGAGCTTCAAGGTCTGAAGTAGGGGCAATTTGCAAAAAATAAAAAAAACCAAAAAAGGGGTATGACCGTGAAATCAAAATTTTGGGGGTATTTCTTAAATAATAATTTAGAGCTACATTAGCATAAATTTCTCCAAAATTGCATTTTTTCTTTTGCATTTTTTCTTTTTGAAATCCTGAGATGCATTTTAGAATCTTAGATGATTTATTTCAAAAATGTTTGGAATTTCAATCTCAATAAGCATTTTATTCGAGTGAGTAAGTTTGGAATGTGCTTCTATGGGAGTACACCATACTTCCTCTTTTCAGAGGCTTTATTTTCATGCAATTTGGAGCTTGAAGTTCCAACCAGTAAGAGTAGCAACGGGTAAGGTCGGGTCCGGGTCGAGGTCCCGACTCGGTCTAACTTTGACCTGAAGTCGGGTCAGGTCCATCTCTAGAAAAAAAAAACAGAAAAATAGTTTTGTATATTTTTATAATACATTTTAAATATTATTTTGCGTATATAGTTATATTTTTTATACTTATATATATCGAATCAGGTCAGAGTTACACTGACCTCCACCTGACCCAACCTGATAGAGTTCAACCCAGACCCGACTATTGGGTCCAACACCTAGACACAGACCTAGTTTGGGTCGACCTAACCCAGCAGGTCGACCTAACCCGATTGCCACCCCTACAAACCACCTTTAAACACTGGTGAATTGGTTCAAACCTTCAAATTCTGAACCGGTCTATCACTTAAAACATAAATAAACAAATAAATAAAAGCGACCTAGTTCGGGGCGTTCCGAACATGTCCATTACTCATAAACATACAAGTGACACGGTTCAGAACTTTAAGTTCCAAAATGGTATCTCACATAAAAAAAGACCCTGGACTTCAAGTTCCAAACTAAACGTATTTTGGGGAAAATAAAAAAATCTTAATGAACAGACCTACAAGATGATACCTTGAGAGAAGGATGGAAAGTTCAATCGACTAAGATGTTAGCATCCATACCTCAAATCAAACTCAGATTCTCGGCCAGGGCTGGTTTTCTCAATGGTTGGTCTTTCCAACAAGCCACCACCTTTGCCTGGTCCACTCGCTGATACCATCATAATAGTGCCTCGGTTTGGGCATGTTCCTTTTAGGAGAAGCAGCTTATCACCTATAGAATATATCCTCACAGTAAGTTCAGTTAAAGCACAATATTTTTTAGTTAAATCTAAACAATTTTAGAAATGTTTGTTTTGACAAGGCTCGTCACTCTAATTGCTGGATTTCAAATGCTTGATAAGTGTACATAAATTCGTACATTGGAAACCAGCAACCGCTTAATTCGAGATTAGTGTGATATTGTGTCACAAGGAAGAGAAACGCTTGCTAAAAATTCTTCACCTGGTCGCTTTGGCCATATCACCCTACGTCCTTTAAGCACATCTTTCACTGTTATCCTCAATTTAAGAATTATAAAATTACAGGTAACAATACAAACACATTTCTCCCACGTAAAAACTAAAGTTGATAATAACAATTTACACCCCAATAGAAATACTGAGAATGAAAAATGCAAAGAAACCAAAAATGGCAAAGGGACTTCACAAAGCAAAGAAACAAACTCTCCTTGAAAAAAATTAGAAAACCAAACAGCACAATCAAGTCATCCCTCTCTTTAATGCCTTACGACTTCCATGGAGCAGCTCCATTACACCTTAGCTTAGACATCCACACCTAATGCAAGACACTCTGTCTCACATTTTAAAGCATCGCCTTTTCCTTGAATCTTAAAAAATAGCCTTTCCCTTGCACTTTCATTTTGTATCACATCTTAAAACACAACCTTTGACAAACTTATCCTGATTATGACCAATTATCCAATGCAGACTTTTTTAAAGCACCTAAACTCTATAGGTTTTTCTCTAATGTACCCAGTTTGCTCCAACTAGGATCCTTTTCTTCTATAAGTATCCCAACTACGATCCTTCAACTAAAGTTCCCTTACTAGTTGAAGCAGAACTCTTACATACAGTTGGCTTCACCCAACATATATGTGGCAGGACACTTGGTAAAGTGGTTACATCACATTAGAATTGAAAAAATGACCGGCCAATAGATTCATATTCAAGTCCCTTTATTTAAGTTATCTCAATTATTACTTAAAACCCTCAAGAATTACAAAATAAGTCCAGAAATTCTACTTCTAGTTCAAAGCATATTCAGGTATTTTCTGAAATGCCCTCACAAGGAATAATTCTACCCCTTGGCTAACAAATTACCACAGCAACCATGGGCCAAGGAATTATCAAAATAATCAAAACTGTAAACTCATCATAATACTCTTGCAAATGTAACTTGTTTTCGAAACTTCTTTACATGAATTATTTTCGGAACTTTTTTACACGATATTGCTTTTGACCATCTAGATCATGCTATTTGCTGCCTATAGACACAGATTTTTATGGATCTCCAAGGGCTTAGCTCTAAACATGGAAAGGCCACCTGGCCCAATTCATCCATGTCGCCACAAGGGACATCTAACAGGGTGAGACTTTGTTTTAATAAGCTACACCAACACCAAGTAATCACAATTTTTCTTGACTAACTTGGTATAGGTCAACTATCCCTCTGCACATATCATTTAAGTAATCTATCAAAAGACAATGCACAAATCTATCAAAAAGATTAATGTGATGTAACCACTTTACCAAGTGTAATTCAGCCACATCCCACATTTTAAAACACTGCCTCAAAGATTTTAAATTTACAAACCCTAGATTTGTTGTCACAAGTTCGCCTAAACTTCCTCAAATCAACACCCAAAAGATACAAATCAACAACCAAGCATCAACAAATGCACAAATGAAGCACTTCAACAAATAAAATTTTCGTCCAAAATTGTTTTTTGATTCAATCTATCAAATAAAAGCCACAGATGTGGCTGAAAAATGTTGTTTTGGGAGGTTCATACCGCCCCAAACCCTTTTCCCCCCATTTTCGAAGATCAAAATGACCTTGCCCGAGGGGTACAGTTTAGAAAAAAAATGGCAGAAGATTATGCGGCCTGATGCGGTGAGATGCGGGATGCAGCTCTAATGAGGAGAGATGCAACGCATTTGCAGGTGCATCTCTCCAAACCGCACATGCGGGGATTTTGATGTGCTGCCCAGCGCATAGCGCCTGATGTGGCCGCATATGCGGCGATGCGGCCGCATTTTAAAACACTGGTTTTCTATCCAAATTTCCAAACTAAAAGCCTCGCCTACAACTGCCAAGATATTCATCAACGCACAGAGTGCCAGCAAGACCTCTACTTAACATGCAATCCATGGATTCAATGTATAATCCTAAACAACTTACAAGGTCACTAAGCTCGCTACAGCCAACAAAACTACACATATTTACAGACACATTAGACATACATGTACATGCGTGAAGTAATGTTTATTATACATATATGCAAAGTAAACTTTTCAAGGAGCACAAGGCACACTGATAAGATGTCTACAACTCTCTACTTCTTGATCCTAAGAAGCCTCGACCAATGAACGGGTGCCATGAATCAAAGGGCGGCACAGGTCCATGGCTTGAACCCAGATTGTACAGCCCAGGAGATGACTAAGGTCAGAGTTTTCATTTGCTTCCAATATAAAGGTGTCCAAGACATGCATGTATGCATAAAAAACACATTTGTGCCAAAAACACTCATCACGTTCATCTAAATATGTCCGCCATGCTACTCTGATTAAAGCCTCATCCAAACACATGTCCTCAAATAGGAATGCACTGGCAGCTCGAAAGAATCGGAAAACTTGAATGTAAACAAACCCTTCATATTCATTACAAATCTTCAATGACCTTACTTATCTATTAAGCGTGTAAATTATATTCAAGCAACACCCAATTATGAGACACCCCATCCTTGACAAGTATCAAGTACGTCTAGTGCTCCTACTCTGTATTGATAAATGATGAAACACTCAGAGATAAACCTGATAACGTAACCCAACATGTTGGCGCTAACATCATGGAGTCTACCTACAAACCCTAAATTAGAAGAATTTGTATCTCCAATTCAAAGAGTTACCCTTTTGCACATCTTTCTTTATGATTGGTTTATCACTATGGGAGTCCCTGATATTTTCTCAGACATTTGTAACTTTATACCAAATAAAATTGCATGAGCATACAATCCACAGAAGTGAATGCAGATCCCTTCTGCCAGACATTATTTTCCAGAGCAAAAATTTTGTGTGTGATGCCAACAAAAAGCAAATCATGTTTCCGTAAAGAAAAAAAAGACACCTAAGGACACCATCAATATTTTCAATAAAAGATTGATCTAATAGAGAACATAAATTATTCAATCTCCATGAGACATCACAATTTGTGCTTTTTATTTTCAATTTATGGCTTTTGCGAATTTTGAGATGATAGTATAGAAAAACTAAAAAATCACTTCAAAATGAAGAAGCAAAAAGCACATTTTGCTTCAGTGGGTCATTTAGAGGAAAAAAATAAAAACCCAAACTGGTTTTAGGTCTCCATGCAGTGGATTTGAGAGTATTGATAAATGAACATAGACCGAGTTGAATATTTGTAATATGTTGAAGTCTAGTTACCCCTTGCATAAGCCACTCTTTATGCAAGAGCAATTTATGGTAAGCAAGATTTAATATTACACAAGCTGCTTATATCCATGGCTACAATAGTGATGTGAAAAGGCCCGTCCTCTAATAAAGTAATAATCATTACAAAAAAGGGACTCTTCCCACAACTCTGAGTCCACATCCCCTCCATTTTCAGTTCTCAAAAATTATTATGCCAATGCCCCGACAATTTAAAGTATACATACAAAATCATGGAACAATCATGGAAGCATGGAAATATTCTCATAGCTCTTCTCAAGGAGTTCTATTCCCAAAGAAAATTCCACAGCACCAAAACAAAAAGTGTGCAAAAGCCTAAGCATCAACAAGGAAAACTATAGATCATCTTGTCCCCATCTATTTAATAACATCTCAAAAAGTTAAGTGATGCTGCCTCTTTCATCTGTTTACTCTACAACACCTTAAGAAAAATAAATATTCTAAATTCTAGAGCAAATATCTCAAGCTTCATTGACAAGTATGGGAAACGACAATATGAAAACATTCGATAATAATTGCTTGAAGAGTAACTCCTACAATGGAGCACATGACTATGTTCAGGACTCTCTTGGAATATACGGCACATCTTGGAGGATTTTCTCCAGTAGATTCATATGTACTTTCAACTTTGTTTGATTTGATTCCTAAGAAATTGTGAAGGATATAAGTAGTATCGGCACACTAATCATGTGGAGGATTTACAAAAATATCTAAACTATTCAAGAGCTCATGGTAGCGAGCTAGGTACTATCAACCAAACAGATTTGGTGGAGGATTTTTCTCTTTTGTGATTTGTCAAAGATTTATAATCCCATTAACTATGCTTGCATACACTACTTGATGGAAACAACAAGCTTTGGGATGATGGAAAGATTCTGGATAATGACTTTTGTCTCAGCCATTAGTTTTAATTGTGATGAATAACGGCTCTCTTAAAAACCCTTTAAAAGTTTCCAATAAGTGAGACCAAGAAATCCACGATCTACCTTCCTTCTTATAGGTATAATTGGTTCACTAACTCATAAATAATTAAAGTATTTCCTAATTATTATTATTTAACACCCTAATGGACCAAAAGGAAAACTGACTCCTTAAAATCGGCTAGTCATCAATACTGTCAAATCACTGAATACAGGACAATCTGGTTACCTCTCAATACCTAAAGAGACATACATAATATATTACATGGTGGAGGAATTTTTTTTTTTTTGATAAAAGTTAACATTTGTATTGCTATAAAGAGTTGAAGTACATATTGGTTTAAATCCGGAGTCCCCCCTAGACAAGGATCTCAGTAAAAAATATGTCAGTCACCCCTATACAAAAATGGGCTTATAGATTTGCCCGATTACAATAGATTTATAATGAGATTACAAAAAATGGGCTTATAAGTTTGTCCCTTTACAAAGAAATTTATTGTTGCATGTACCCTCTGTGGTCCAAAGCAAAAAAGGAGATGAACCGGTTTTGTTCTTCAACTTGGGCCCTAGTCCCATCCTTTGCCAGGAGATCTGCTAACTCGTTTGACGTCCTCGAGGTATGCATCCATAAGACGACCATATCCCTGCAGATGTATGTGATCTCATCAAAAATCGAAGCGAGATACCATGGAGGAGTGCATCTCCCGATTGTCCATGATATAATATTACGCGCGTCTCCCTCCACTATAAGGTATCACCCCCAAGAGTGATTGAAGCTTTTGTTGCCCAAGAGGAGGGCCATTGCTTCAGCATACTGAGAATCTTGAAAGCCAAGATACTCAGAAAAGGTAAGCAATATTGTGCGATGGTGGTCTCTGAAGACACCTCCCACACTTGCATGACCGGGGTTCCCCAGAGAGCAACCATCAAAGTTAAGTTTTATAACTCCTTCTGGGGGTGGTTGCCAGTTGTGAGATTTTTGCACCTTCCGCGGACGGTGATGCAAGATGTTTTCCCACTGGTTTAGGAAGGTATTTGCTGAGAACCCTGAAAAGATCCGCTGGTTGGATGCCCCAAAATTATTAAGGATGTAACCTTGTGGAAAAGTGCTGGACCTTGGGCAGTAGGGCCATAAAATATCCTGAAGTTTCTCTCTTTCCAGATAACCCAAACGATGGCTGCCACGGCAGCCTTCCAAAGGATTCGTCCAGTCTTCAGCCAGTGAGACGCAGGGTCCGAAGATAAAATATCCTTGACTGTCGGAGGCGTTACCCATTGGACCCCGAATAGCTGCTACATTTGACCCCAGAGATCATGAGCCATGTTCTTTTTCATGATTTGCCAAAGATTTATAATCCCATTAACTATGCTTGCATACACTACTTGATCGAAAAGACAAGCTTTGGGATGATGGAAAGATTTTGGATAATGACTTACGTCTCAGCCATTAGTTTTAATTGTGATAAATAACGGCTCTCTTAAAAACCCTTTAAAAGTTTCCAATAAGTGAGACAAAGTAATCCATGATCTACCTTCCTTCTTATAGGTATAATTGGTTCACTAACTCATAAACAATTAAAGTATTTCCAAATTATTATTATTGAACACCCTAATGAACCAAAAGGAAAACTAACTCCTTAAAATCGGCTAGTCATCAATACTGTCAAATCACTGAATATAGGTAGGACAATCTGGTTGCCTCTCAATACCTAAAGAGACATACATAATATATTATTTGCACTGCAGTACGTTCTTAAAAGATTTTCAATAGCTCCCCAGTAAGCCGTTACACTACGTAAATCAACCTCTGTATGAATGGGGTAGATAAAAATGCAGGCAATACAGTATGGGACCATTCCCACAGAGAAAGGAACCCCATCATGGTTAAGTTTGCTTGCAATTTGGAAAATAATTTTCTCAACTTCTTCAAAAAAACACCTCCAATTACATTAGAGCTAGCATCACCGTGGAGGCAACCATAAAACAGTACGACTCAGGCACCCAAACGAGGGAGATGCATAACTCCTAAACCTCAAGAGGTTCATGTTCTCCCTACCAATACGAAGATGATATTGTTTTCCCCATCTGGAAGAGCTCATTTGTCAAAGAACTTTTCTCAAGGTTGTATGCTTGACTACCTAAGTGACTCCCTTCATGGCAAGTGGAAGCTCTTGAGTGATTAGTTCTCAAAGCAATGCTTATTGTTATAATCTATTCTCCCAACCAGCCCAATTACATGAGGCTCCCTTGATAGCTAAAACATTGTACACTCGAAAATTATATCAAAACACACGAAACAAGAAAAAAATTAAGTGGAATTAAACTTAAACATTCATCAATAAACAAACTTGGTATCCAAGCCATAGTCTGTAATGAAAAAAATCTAACTTTAGATGCAACTTGGTGTAAGATTAGAAAGTTATAAGTTTCACAATGTTTCCATCAGTCTGAGTCCAAGATAAACCTTTTAAGATGACAAAATAATAAGGAACCTCTATTCATTTCAATGTTGGAATTCATAAAAAAGAGACCACAACAAGGAGTAAGAGTTTCTGCTAATAAATTAATTCAAAGCATGATCCCCTGTCACACTTCAAAATCCACAAAACAATGTTCTGGGACCCATCTAGGTGATTCTAATGTTTGGATCATATATAGTTAATGAGGGTCCATCGTGATGTGTATTTGAATAAGGACAATAAATGGTAAAATATAGCATAGACTTATTTTAGTAAGTTCAATACATTGTTGCAGTGCACAACAAGACTCCTCTGTGAATCAGCAACAAAGTCAGTTGATAAGAAAAACCAAAATTGTCAGAATCTTTCTAGTGAGTAATACGTGAAATACAAGTCCATAGAACTGCAAGTAGTAGTAATTTTTTATTTCATATTTATAGGGAGTCCATCAATAATTCCTAGAGGCACTACTTCAACTTCCATAGCTTATGTAAAAATCACATCTCATTCTTTCACAGAGGTGTCAGTTGACAAGGGAAAGAATTCACCCATTATATGATCTTGAAAAAAGAAAAAAGAATAATCACTCTATGAGAACAGCGTTCAAATAAGTTGATGAGAGTTCTAATTGATGGACATATAACAGGGAAAGTGGGTTGTATCGTCCACAAATTTGTTGAGAGAAGATTACCCAAGAGGAAAGATAGAAACATTTTGCTTTCTCTTGATAAAAACCAGTTCACTAGTTGTTGATACAAAAGAAAGTATCTATTCTCCCATATATATCCAATTCCTCACCCATAAGCTACAGATTGGAGCTCACCTCTTTATGAATGGTTTCACATGTGGACTACATAATATTTCAACCAAGTCATAATCTCCAATAAATTTTTCTCCAATTTTGAACAAAAAATAAGATCTATAAATACAGAGGTTCCAAATTCCCTTATCATCCCATCAATTATATACACACACAAAATAGTACAGTTCTTATAGCAATATGCCCCCCATAATATTGGCCTCAATTCAAACACAAAATAACCATGAAACTGATCATTTGCTTTGTAAACATCCATAGAATCCAATACTGTCACTACCCATCAAAAGGATGAGAAAAAAGTAGAGATAAAAACTCATCGCCACCAATGCACACCTATAGTGCTGGTCTTCACTCATCAGAGTACAAAGAACACTCATCAGAGTACAAAGAACAATGAAAATAACTTTACAAATTCTGGGATCTAATATACCCATTAAAAGGATGACAGAGCAACAGAGAGAGAGATGAGTGGGGAACATCAAAACATTAAATTAAGCAACCATTAAAGGGGCTATAAGGTTGAAAGCCATCGATAAAGAAAAGACCAAAGTCTACGAAGAAAATAATCTCATGATAGCAATCTGAGACAAAAATAGTAGCATCAGAGGATGAACAGATGAAAAAACAAATGAAAAGTGAAGCAATTTGTAAATAAACCAAGAAACGGAATAATGGGGTTGTAGAAAAAAGACCTGATTTAGGGTTTAGAAGTTGATTTGCGGAGAGGGTGATTCTCCCACAAATGGCGGTCTCCATTGCTGGCCTTATTCAAGCAACAGAGACCTGGTTTCCAGGCACTGTAAGAATGGCGTAATGAACACCTGTATATATAGCAGCGCCAAACATGGCTATGAAGTGAGGTTGATACTGTTTTACTTTTTTGACCTTGCATTGTAGTGAAATTTCAGTGATATTCATGAGGACTGACTCTCTGCCATGACATTTCCATGTGATTTAAATTGACATAAGACCACTGAAGTGCAAAAGTGAAAAAAGAGCTGAGGAGTAAGGGTGTTCCTGTCATTTTGAAAAGATTGGCAATGTGACGTCCACATTAAAAGCCTTCGTAATTTTTTGTGATGAAAATGTGACTCTCTTTCTCTTAATCTTGCCATGGAAAGAGTTTGGGACATCTCTCCTTTTAATGGCCACATACACAGCAGCGACATTACTGTAACCAAATCAGATTTCTTCCTTCACCATTCATGCTTACAAATGTTATGTGCCCCACTCACCTCTCTTACGGGTGGCAATGGACACAGACTCACACCCGAGGGGTCACTCTACTCCAGGTGTGGGTATGGGTTTCAAAATTTGACCCAACGGATTGGGTCCAGTTTTTAATCTTGGATCCGGATACTATTTCGGTCCGGACGGGTCTAGGTAATATTTTTTGGGTCCCGACATACAAAATTGTTAGTGTGTATTTTTGACACAGTAATTCCCCAATGCAAATAATAGAGGAGGCACTTACGACTCAGGCATGTAGGTGTTAGTCACGTCCATGGGCTACAAAAGCCCGCACAAATAAGCCTTATTTTGAAGAGCCATGATAAGGATGTCATCTCGGCCCCAAATCAAGCATGTGAGTCTTCTATGATGATCCAATGATGCCCTCCAAGTTTCGTCCAATTCGGGGGCGAATAGAAGAAACCGGTGCAAAATCAGTTTTCAGCCCAGGCTACTAGCATGACTGCAGCGCATCATAGCTAGAACTCCATTCTAGATACTTTTAGTGAGTATGGAACCACCTACAATGGCATCAGAATGCTGAGATTGCTAAATTTCAGCTAAAATGGACATTTCTAGGTCTTACTTTCTAAAAATGGTAAGATTTTTACGATTCACTCAAAACCCCTTGAACCAATTACTATTTATAGTAATTGTGTTTTTCAAAAAATGAGGCAACTTGTGAAGCATAGTTCTCTCTCATCTTGATGCAGATCGACCCTAAATTTGAATATGTTGTTCCTCTCACCAAAATCTATGATTTGGCCAGTGGCACGCACCATGGAGGCTCCCAGATAAGGAGAAATCCTAGAGAGAAGTTTGCCAAAAAGTATGAAATTGCAGAAAATTCCAGCAGCGTATGTCGTGGCTCTAGCAGCCTTATCTCGAGATTTTAGACTCCCACGACCTCAATGTCAGGTCTATTGTGATCGTGACTCGAAGGGCATCATTTTGAATACATATTTTCTTAAAATAAAACCCAGAAAGGCATCCTATTGAGGCTCAAAAAAACACACATTTTTCAATCATCAGAATCTCATTTTTCGGTCGCCAAAATCCCATTTCTCCTCAAAAAATAGGAAAGTGATCAAATGGACTCCAAATCGAGGGGTTTTCATAGCAAATTGATCATAACTACTTCACCTTTGATTTGTGATAAGAAACATGACTAGAAATGCAACAAAACAGACACGATCGAAAATTAAATAATGCACGTTTATAAGTTTTGCCATATTTTGGGTTCATAAAAAAAATTCGATTTAAGCCACAAAAATGCATATCAAAATATCGATTGTCTCGAGAATACCAACGTTTCTATGATGTTGGATTCTTTGGAATGTCGATGCAAAGTGCCAAAAGTGGGTCCGAACCATAGGGAAGGCAAGAGCCCCTTTTTATGGATGGTCTTGTCATTTCTACAAAAGTATGGAGGGGCAAAATGGTGATTTTTGTCCAAATGGAAATCACTTTTTAATCATTTTTAATATGGGAAAGTTTATATAGAACCGAGGCTCTCAACAATCAAATTTAAGCCTACCTCAAAAATTTCACTAGAAGAGGTTGTTTTGATGCCCAAATATCTTCAAATCGATCATCTCGACATCAAGATGCATGGACATGAGAAAAAATGGATTTCAAGTTTTGAAAATAGTGTATTTTGTAACACGTTTTTGGACCGTCAATTTTTAAGGTTTCCAAGTTTTCATAGATCTATCGATCTATACTATTTTTTTGAAAATTTAAACTTTATAAATAAATATAGAAATACATTTATAGATATTACAAATATTTCCAATATTAAAACCACATTTCTCAACACTATTTGAAAGTAGGCTCTAATTTGATTGTTTAGAGCCTAGGCTCTATACAAACCGCACCTTTTTTAATATATTATTTGGCAATTAGGCATAGTTTTAGCCCTCCACCCTTGTTTGGGATGACTCTTGTAAAAGTTCTTTTCCTTCATTTGTAACCCTAAGTTGAAAATAAGGGGCAACAGCTTGAAGAGTTGGCTGAGTTGATATCATTTTCTTATGTGTGTGGTTTCATTTTCACTTTGTAACCCTAAGTTGAAAATAAGGGGCAACAGCTTCAAGAGTTGGCTGAGTTGATATCATTTTCTTATGTGTGTGGTATCATTTTCACTTCAAGATGGATGAGAGAGAATACTTTTGCATTGAGAGGAATACCCCTTGGACCATCAAACCCTATCCATTGATTATACTCCCTGTCCTAGTCCATACACTTTACACACTACACCAGCCCATGCTCCTTACACCACACCTACCCATACTCTCTACACCACAACTATCCATATACCCTAGTCTACTCATAACCCATTAGTCATACACCGGAGTTCACTCATACTTAACCTATTAGGGATACACCTTAGTTTAACCCATCCTTAACCAATGAACCATAAACCCTAGTGCTCCTAGGTTCATCTTCAACCTACACCCTAACCTATACTGACAGACCCAAATCCATCTCAAGGCGCACTCAAATGACCATTCAGGGGCCTACCTAGCCTCGGAGTCCAAGTCTCCAGTCTACTTGCTAAGTACGCCGTCACTTTCTCTCTCATCTTCTCTTCTTCTTTCTTCTTCTTCTTCTCTCTAAGAGCTAGGCGACTAAGCTGCAAGTGGGCCGCCCAGCTCCCTCTCTCCCTCTCTTTGAGCCAAGCGACTAGGTCGCTTAGCTCTCTCTCTCTCTCTCCCCCCTCACATACTTTCTCTCTCTTTCCCTCTCCCTCATCATCTTTCTCTTTCTTTTTCTCACGCTCTCTTCTACTCCCAATCTCACTTTCTCTCTCTCTTATCTCTTTTATCCCCACATTCTTCTTTCTCTTCTATTTTAAATATCCACTCTAATGAGGAGGATTATGCACTAGTCCGACCTTGGGGCTTTTTAGCGACCAAGAAGTTTTGCTCCTTTTCGCCGTGCCTCCGGGGTATTAGGCTTAGGCCTAGTATCTTTTTTGGGTTATTCGATAAAGCCTCTTAGGAGAGGCAACGCCAGAAGGCCGCAAGATTGTAAAGTGCCTCTCTTCTTCCCTTTCTTCATTTCTTCTTTCGCTTCTCTTTTTTTGCACATATACTTTTTAAGGAGGACCGTACACTAGGCCAACCTTGGGGATTTCTATCACCCAAGAAGTTTTGCGCCTTTTCGTCGTGCCTCCGGGGTATTAGGCTTAGACCGGGTACCTTTTATGGGTTAATCGGTAAAGCCTCCTAAGGGAGCACGAGAAGCCTCCTAAGGGAGACCGGGTACCAAGGGTTATCAACCCCGAATTTCATACTAATAGAGCACGAGAAGCCAGTGTGGTGTGATAGCCGGAAAGGGAGAGAGTCTCATACCGTGTCGAGAATGCCAGGGGGCCTTTCGAATTGATCTAAGAGGGCTAACCGAGCTCAGGTGTGTCCACGAACCCAATCGTGCGAGGTAGGCGCCTAACTCTCTCGCCACCAAAATCTCTCTCCTTATTGGTACCTCTCTACACACATGCGCATGCATGCGCAAGGCCGGTGGGCATGCGGTTTTTTGAGAGAACGAACTCATGCCGGAACCCACATCAGGTCCCAGGCCGAGACGAGATCAAGGCCCAGTCAGAAATATATTTAAATACAATTAAATACATAGATATTTTAATTTTTGGGTCGAGTCATGCCGAATCTAGGTCTGAGTTTGAGTCCCATGCTGTATTTTCAAGTGACCCCTGTGGCCACCCCTACCTCTCTCTCTCTCTATCAAAAGTGGTATTTCGATAACCTTTTTACATGGCAATGGATGGGGTGGCCTAGGCCCTAAAAAATTAGGGCCTAGCTTGACCCTGAAAGATTAGGGCTTGGGCCCCTGGCCTACGTGGTTCGGGCCACTTAGCACTTTATTTTGTTTTCTTTTACTAGCGTAGCCCTAGCCCGGGCCTCACCCCTGCTAAGGCCGGGTTTGGGCTAGGTCTGGCCTAGCCCAGGCACAGCCCGTAAAGTCTCTTCCCCTCCTTCCCAAAAAAAGAAAAATCTTTCAAAGTTTTGTTTCAAGCAAAATCCCGTGAAAACGAGTTATGTTCCTCCCAATAGATCTGCAATTAGATATGTGCCCTTTGTTGCAACATAATGTAAACTTTATTTCCTAGTTTAAAATTTTAATAAATGTATTTAGACATGTATCTATGAGCAAGAACCGTAGAACTCTGGACTGGAGAACTTCCTTTTCTATTTTATAGTAATAAAACAAAATGGAAATTGAGGCAGAGAAAAGAAAAACAAATATGGAAATTGAGGCAGAGAAAAGAATTCATACTGTTAAGAACACAATATTTTCAATAAGGAAATCGATTCTTTTATACAGAGAGTAATGGACCCCTCTCAAGAAATGAGAATATTTGTCAAAGATTTATTGGTTTGTGCCCTTTAACATTAAAAGTTCCTTTTCACTTTGAGAATAAAGTGAAAATCAAGAAAGAGAACGAAAGTTCAGATTGCTACTAACACACTGCTAATGAAATCGAGTTGCCATACAATTATATTTATTCATTTTTAATTTCCAAATTTTCAAGCGCATGCACATCGGCGCCTTCTTTGTGCTTTG